AGAGAGAGAGAGAGAGAGAGAGAGAGAGAGAGAGAGAGAGAGACACACACACACACACACACACGCACACAGAGAGGACTTAGGACGAGAGCAATAGGCGAGGGTTACTTTCGAGTTGTCGTCCGGCCTTTTCGTTTTGGGTGGACAGTTTGCTGCCTAATCTTCTTGAAGGAGGGTGGGTGGGGAGTGTACTCATAGTCGTGCATGCCGTAGTTGTTATACCATTGACCTCGCATCCCTACAGAGCCGGGACGGAGCACGCCGGGTTCTCACAGGACCAGGCTCTCACATCACCAAGCGCGAAGCGCCGTGAGATATTCGGCGAGTCGCATGAAGGGTGCGCTGCATCCTGCTAAGGGTGTTCGGCCCTTGTGCTTACTTCCTTGCGTACGGATGACAGCTGCGTATGACTTAATTTATTTTCTGGTGCTTTCACTTCCTGACAATTGTAATCACTGTGTAACTGCCTCGAGGGTGCTTGACCATTTTAACACAACGTGGTGCGATCATCCCCCTTGCGCGGAGTGAGGGTTCTCGACCCCGCACAACATGATCTACTCGACCACCATTATGGTTACCGACAAAAAAAAAAGAGAGGTAAAAAAAACCCGGTAACCTGGTTGCCGAGTTCACGAAGTGAATTGGCTTGTTTTACAACGTCGTTGCCAAGCGACGAAAACCCAACCCCGATGGCAAACACCAATACACCAATACACCGGGGGGGGGAGGCTTGTTTTACAACGTCGTTGTCAGGCGACGAAAACTCAACCTCGATGGCAAACATCGGGGGGGAGAGAGAGGGAAAAAGCGTGCGGTACCTGTACGATCACCGAAGCCGGCCGGCCAACTACCTTATCGTGACTTGGGGAGCGACGTGAGTGCTATGAAGGTACTTGGTAGGGGGGTGGGAGTTGCAACGGCACACCAACCGCAATGACAGTCGACGTGCTTGCCTACCACTGCCCCCCCACCGAATCATCAGTGTTCTCCGCCTCGCTCGGTACGACTCGGCGTGCCCATACTCAATACAAAAGACCTCCGATCGATTCACTCGCCGATGTTATCCCTTGCGACATTTCTTGCAGCGTCCTGCTCGGTGCCCTCCGCTACAAAAACTCCGGCACCAATACGAGAAGTTGTGCCTCCTTCGCGCCTCCCTCTCTTCTTATTCTCTGCCGCCAGTCCGAAACCACTTACCCCCTACATAGTCTCTGGTCCACCCTCAACGAGTACTTCCTCACCTGCCGTGATCTATATCGCCTGAGAAGAAGGTCGCCTGGTTGTGCGTCTCGAGGTCCCTGAGCCCCGCTGGAGCACCACCAGCGGCGGCTGCGGCGGCCCGCGCTTTGTGCAACTCTGCGGTGAGAGCCTCCACCGCTCTCTTTGCCTCCGCGTCTCGAGCCCCGATGGCCCGCTCCGACTCTACGGTAATGCGGTGGTTCTCGCGTGCCAGCCAGGTAGCCTGGTGACGGTTTTTCGTTCGAAAGGGCGTAGGAGCACGACGGCCCACGAACTCAGGAAACAAAAGGGGGAGAAAAATCATTCGCTCCAACCTGGAACCCCGACAGGTGGCGGCGAAGAGTGCCCGGCCTAGCCCGGTCTTTTGCGGTACTACCTTTCGTTCAACTCACGGGGTGTACATTCGCTGCTTGGGTGCCACGCGAGGGTCGAAAAGTACCTCGCTTCAGGGGCGGGGGAGAGGGGGAGACTGTTCCAGTTCATGAGCCATGTATGTATGCCTATTTCACAATCACTACTCGCATGGTAACACGACAGGCATTTAGCGGACCTAGGTTAGCTCCTCTCTTGCAGAGGCCACCCTCCTCGCACCTCAGCCTCCGCTGTGGCCACCCTCGCCTCTAGCTCCCTCCCCCTCAGAGCTTCGGAACCCCTCAGCAACGAAGAATAGTCTCGAGCCCCCTCGCCAGGGAGCAAGACACGCATCCCCCCCCCTGCTCCCGCGGTATTCTGGAACCTGCTACAGCTGCTGCTACTCCTCCGCGCGGCTCTTGTAACCCCGCCCTTCTTCACCGTCCACGGAGACCTGAGGCTGCCGCGGACATCGCCCGGCGCCGTTGATGTGGCGGGTTTTCCTGTGGTAATCCCTCGTTTTTCCG